AAAACCACTGGAAATGCTTATTTGCGGCTGGCATTTGTTTAAGTTTGAGGAGAAGAAGAAGAAGAAGAAGAAGAAGAAGAAGAAGAAGAAGAGATTGGATTTATACCGCGCCCTTCACTCCCCAAAAGTGTCTCAGAGGGGCTTACAAACTCATTTCCCTTCCCCTCCCCACAACAGACACCCTGTGAGGTAGGTGGGGCTGAGAGAACTCTTGACAGAAACTGCTCTTTTTCAAGGACAGCTGTGCCAGAGTTATGGCTTACCCAAGGTCATCCAGCCAGGTGCAAGTGGAGGAGTGGGGAATCAAACCCGGTTCTCCCAGATCAGAGTCCACGCACTTAACCACTACACCAAACTGGCAGAAGAAGAAGAAGAGGAGGAGGAGGAGGAGATTGGATTTATACCCCGCCCTTCACTCAGAATCTCAGAGTGGTTTACAAACTCTTTTCTCCTCCCCTCCCCACAACAGACACCCTGTGAGGTAGGCGGGGCTGAGAGAGCTCTTTCCAGAACTGTCCTTGAGAGAACAGCTCAGAAAAGAACTATGGCTTGCCCAAGGTCATCCAGCAGCTGCAAGTGGAGGAGTGGGGAATCAAACCCGGTTCTCCCGGATTAGAAAAGCGATGAGCCGCGCCATCCCTCCCCGTTTTCCCGCCATACTGCTTTAGAAAGTTTTTTAAAAACCAAGACCTTTAAAAACTTTTAAAATGTATTTTGCCAGCCATGCTAAGCTAATGCCATCTACAGGGAACCAGAAGAACAGCAAAAGACAAGACGTCCCCAAGGCCGCTGCCCCCCTCCCCCGTCACACACACATCCATCAAGAGGGCAGGGTATCTCCTGGCTGCTACTGGCACTGGATTGGGGCCAGTGGGACTAGTGTTGAAGACTGACCCTGGTTTTGTATGGAGAGACCCCAGGATCGCAGGTCACAGCCTGAGCAGAAAGAGAAGCCTCAGTCCGAGGTCAGTCCTGGGAAGGGATGCCGTGTCCCTTCGCATCTCTCTGCATCCCTCGGAGCACCCCCCCCCTGTGACCCCTGGAACAGAGGCGTTCTAAGCGCCTGGCACTTTTTAGCTCCGGCAGCTCCTTCCAGCCCCCCCCCCCCCCTTTCCCAAGACTTAGATGTTTCAGGTTTCGCCTCCTTCCCCCTCCACGCTTTCTCGTCTCCGATTTCACCATCCCCCTGGACGTCTTGCCCTGGACGGTGCTTCAGACAGTGCCCCTGTGTAAACAAGGCCGGTGATGGCTCCCATCCATGCGGGCAGAGCGGTCCCTGCGACCAGGTGGGCAGGATGGGGCAGTGTCAGCGAGTTCTGACCTGTGCCTGCCGGACGGGGCTCCTCACCCTGATAAGACTGTTTTGAGCTTTGTCCTTCCCGTCTCTGGTTCTGGCCTGAACAGGTTCCTGGGCTCCTATAAAGACACAATGTCCCGGACCGGCTCAGTTCCTGTTCTGCTGGGCCCGGGAGCCTCGCCACACAGGGGAGAAGGGGCCGACTGACAGCTGGAGGTGGGTGCCGGAGGGGGAGGGTGGGGTGCAGGGCCTGGAACCAGCATGTCCCAGGCAAAGACAGCAGCGGAGGCAGGCAAGGACTGCATGGCGGAAGACCTGGGTCCTCAAGCCGAGCTCAGGAGCAACGGCGGCCGGGCGGACTGGGGGGCCCCGAGCCGCAACTCCGTGGTCATCTGCCAGGCGGTGGGGAGAAGCATCTTCACTTCAAGCACCTCCTCGGCAGCGGAGAGAGTGAGCCTGATGCTGAAGCAGGAAGAGGAGGGCGAAGAGGCCAGCCACCCAGTGCTCTTCATACAGCTGTCCGAGCTCTTCAGCACCCTCGAAGGACTGGAGTGGAGGGAAACGGCCAGGTAAGGGGTCTACCCAACGCTGTGCATGCAGGCCCTAAGATCTCAGGGACCTGGGCAGGGAGCTAGGGTTGCCAGGTCCCCCCTGGCTACCACCAGCAGGGGATGGGGGCACAGGGTTGCCAGATCCGGGTTGGGAAACTCCTGGAGATTTGGGGATGGAGCCTGGGGAGGACAGGGACCTCAGTGGGGCCCAATGCCACAGAGTCCACCCTCCAAAGCATCCATTTTCTCCAGGGGGGTGCATCTTTGTAGTCTGGAGAGAAGCTGTGATTCTGGGGGGTCCCCAGGCCCCGCCTGGAGGCTGGCACCCCTAAGGCCTCTGCCTGAGCTCATGGAAGGCTAGGCGTGGGGCGGAGGGAGCGGTGGCTCGATTCAGCACGGAGGCGTCCTAAATCTCAGGGCGGGGTTTGCTAGAGCGGAAAGGACGGTGGGCCTTGTGATCCCAGGGCTCTTTCGCTGCGGTTTTCCTCCGCAGGCCAGCATTACTATCACCTGGGTTGGGTTTGGGGGGGGAAGGTTTGTATACTGCTTCTCCAGTAGGGACGCCAGCCTCCAGGTGAGACCTGGGGACCACCCGGAATTACGGTTCCTCTCCAGAGTACAGACACCAGTTCCCCTGGAGAGAACGGATGCTTTGGAGGGCGGGCTCTATGGGTTTGCACCCCACTGAGGTCCCTCTCCTCCCCAGGCCCCATCCCCACATCTCCAGGAGTTTCCCAACCTGGAGCTGGAACCCTCCCTCTCCCTCCCTTCCGCTGGTAGCCGGGGGGGGGGGGGGGGGGGACCTGGCAACCAGCATTCCCTTTACGCTGAGTTAAGTGTGAGCTAGCTCACAGTTTTTCAGCCTCCGGCTCGCACGTTTTTGCCTTAGCTCAGGAAGGGAGGGCTCCAGAGCAAACCGATTTATGCCGTAGCCAAATCGCTCGCTCACAACCTTAATGCCAGTGGCTCACAAAGTAGAATTTCTGCTCACAGGACTCCACAGCTTAGAGGGAACACTGCAGTGGCAACCCTATCTCCAGAGACCCCCTGTAATCGCTGACACCTAGGGTTGCCATGTCTAGGTTGGAAAATACCTGGAGACTTTGGGGGGTGGATCCAGGCGAGGGCGGGGTTTGGGGAGGGGAGGGGCCTCAGCAGTGTACCATGCCACAGAGTCCACCCTTCAAAGCAGCCATTTTCTCCAGAGGAGCTGCAAAAGCGGGAGATCTCCAGGCCCCACCCGGAGGCTGGCAACCCTAGGTACCTCCCTTCCCTAAAGCCCACCCCCCCCAGGCCCCACCATCAAGGCTCCAGGTTTTTCCTGACCCGGAGCTGGCAACCCTATTTGCTGTGGCTACAGGCCCAACTAAGGTTGCCAGCCTCCAGCTGGTGGCTGCGGTCTTCCTGGATTACAACTGATCTCCCCATGACAGAGATGAGTTCCCCTGGACAAAACGGCTGCTGTGGAAGGTGGGCTCCATGGCATTATACCCCATCGAAGTCCCTCCCCTCCCCAAACCCCCCCTCCCCAGGCTCCACCCCCAAAATCTCCAGGAATTTCCCAACCCAGAACTGGCAACCCTAGGCCCAACTCAGATCCTCAACCCGTGTGGTATTGGAGCTCGTGCCGTCTAGGGGCTAAGAACAAGAACTCAGAGCCACAAAGGACTCATATCTCAGCTCAGCCACGGATTATTTCAGTGGCTTTAGGTCCGTCTGGGGTTGCCACCCTCTAGGTGGGGCCCGGAGTTTTCCTGGAATTACAGCCAATCTCCAGAGTGATGAGATCAGTTCCTCTGGAGGAAATGGCAGCTGGGGGGGGGGGGGGGGGGGG